GTTTAGTAGGGTGGAGTGGCACACACCTGTAATCCCAGCACTTGGGAGGCTGAGGCAGGAAGAATGCCTTGACAGAGACCAGCCTGGGCTACACAGTGAGTTCACGGCCAGCCTGAACTACACAGTGAAATCACCGCCCCCTCCCACATACACACACTCCAATAAAAAGCACAAAACCCAGGTTCACTTCCTCAGCTCCCCAAGAGGCACATGCACCCAGGAAACCCAGACCAGGCTGGCAGGCTGTATCACCTTCCTCCCAAAGTGCTCGCACACATCCCGGACACCTCCCAAACCCAGCTTCTCCAACGGTCCCACTGGGTGCCACTGACCTTGACAGAGTTGTCCTGACTGGAGGTGGCAAGAATGTGCTCACTGTCTGGGTGCCAGTCAAGGCCATGGATTTTGGAGAGGTGGGCTGCTAGATACTCCACTGCTGTGCTGGGTTTCTGCAACAGATTGGCACTGAGTTTGTCACAGGAGAAAGGACCCAGTGAGTGTCTTCCACATGACAGTCTGCTGGGTGCTAAAGGTGATACACAAACTACTACCAGCTACTGTCTCTACGCTTCAAAAACTCTACTTTGTTTTGAAGTGAACAAACTACCACCAGCACCAAAAGACTTACCTGGCTGCCCTAAAATCTACCCAAGCCAGCGTGATGCATGACCTTCATGAAAGACATACTCAGTGGGCACTTTTCACCTTTTCATTCCTATTCCCTCTATTCCCTATCGCCCAAGAATAAGGGCTTGTGACATCTAAGGGGACCCAGCCTCAACTGAGACAATAAAATCATTGATCTTACAGTGATTGAGAACTAAGATCCCAAAAGAAAACAAACATATGCCATAAAAAAGCACATATAAAAATGGACAAACTCAGGAGACCTCAGAAATACACATCAAAATAAGATTTTTAAAAGACTTTCAAGTTAAAAGATATAAAGAATAGTTCTCCTGAAGCTACATTTGTTACTACTGTTGTACATACAAAATAGTATAGCCTTTTTGGAAAAAAGTTTGGCAAGATTTATCAAGACACTTAGTCAGGTGTAAGTATGCATGCTTGTCTGTAATTTCAGCACTTGAGAGGCTGAGTCAGGAGGATCACAGAAGTTCAAGGCCATGGTGGACTACACAACAAGAGTCTCAAAAAAAAAAAGAAAAAGTTTTACAATTTTAAGAGAATAATCTGAATTCACAAAAAACTTTACATATATCTGGTGCTACTTGGCACACTAGACTATTAGAACAACCTAAATAACCAGTAAGAGGGGGAAAAATTAAATTGCATCAATTATATGTAAATAGCTATCTGATACACTATAATATAGTCCTTAAATTATACTTAGAGCTTATAATATGGAAGAAAAGCATTCACTACAATTTTATTTTTTTTAAACATTTATTTATTGTGTGTGTGTGTGTGTGTGTGTGTGTGTGTGTGTGTGTGGCCAGCTCAGCCCACCAGGGGGCGCAGCTGGCTGGCATGTGGTGCTGGGAGATCGAACCGTGGTCCCTGTACTTTGCCAAGCTTGTTCCAAGTTGGTGCTTTAGACCACTGAGCCATCTCTCCAGCCCCATTCACTACAATTTTAAATGAAAAAAAAGCATACACAATGCAACATACATAAGCCATACCTTTTTAAAAGCAAATGTTAGCATTTGTCTCTGGCAGTATGATTTTTTTTTTTTTTTTTTTTTAATTTTAGGACAGGGTGTACAGGGTCCTCACTGTGTAGATCAGACTCACAGTGATCCTCCTGTTTACAGCCTCCCAAGTGCTGGGATTACAGGTGTGCACCACCAGTCTCAACTGCTGTCTCAGCATGCCCCAGAGGCGGGGCCAGCATGGCAGGCCTGAGGATCATGGCCCCTTCATCTAAGCAGATACTTTAATCTGCTGAGCTATTTGGCTGGCCCTTCTGGTATTATGATTATGAATAATTTTTCCTTTTTTTTCTTTTTTTGTTAGAACTCTTCCTACAAACAGCCTGTATTACTTCTCTAACTTGCACTAGTCTATGAGCTTAAGAGCACAGTCTCCAAAAGTAAACTCCCCGGGCTCCAGTTTCGCCATCGCACTGTGCCTCACTTTACTCATCTATAAGATAGGGTTCTGACAAGCCCCTAATGGAAAGGCTAGCTATAAAAAGAAAATAATCAATACTCATAAAGCTCTTAGAAAGATGCCTATGTGCAGGATGTTTAGTAAACATCAGTGTTATCAGCCATACGTAAGCTGGATGGAAATCCCACGTCACCCCTGACATTGAACTTCGCTAACTTTGTGATAGCTGCTGCTATCAGTGCTGCTGTGATGCTAGAAGGTGCCAGAGAAAAGGAAGCACCATCAGCGGTTCACAACCCATCTGAGCGGAAGGCCTATGTATCAACAAAAAAAGAAAAGCTTAGGGCCAGAGAGATAGCTCAGTAGACTAAGTGCCTGCTTAGGCATGTGCAGGGACCAGTGTTTGATCCCCTGCACTACATACCGGGCCAGCCCTGCCCCCAGGTACGCTGAGCCAACCACCAAGACCAGCGCTGGGGAGGCTGAAAACAGGAGGATCACTACAAGTGTGAGCTACACAGTGAGACCCTGTACCAAATACATAGAAATTAAATTAAAAAATAGAGTTCCTGGTTCAACACCAAATTATTTTGCCTATGTCTCTGAAAAGTCTAAAGCAAATATACAGGCACTGCAAATAAATATATTTAATCAATTTACTATACTGAAATGCTGTTACCGTGATAAACTGAGTAAGTCTAACAATTTAAGAAAGAAAGAAAAAGGGGAAAATGGCCATTACCAGACTGACCTAAAGGGACAGAAGAAACTGAAATGTAAAGACGCAGCTGTGCAACACCTTAAATTCACCTTCCGCCCTAAGAGCCACTTCCCTCCTCTCAAGCATCCCTGCGCACCACAAGCAAAGCAGAACCGGGCGGGTCAGCACCTGGGTCCCAGCATCCACGGCCCCAGGCAACTCTCGTCCTGAGTGTCTCCAAGCAGGAAGCAGTGCTCACACCTCCCACTTACAAAGTTGCGAGCCCAATTCTCTTGCAGCAAGGCAAAGGGAAAGCTCTTTTCTTCTACCATATTTGATGCCAACACACCGAAATTCCAACTGACTTTCTACTACACCCAGCACCAGCACCTAGCGCCTTTTTGTGCCTTCAGCACGTGGGCTGCCGCAATGTACCACCGATCTGCAAAGCTGCTCTGAGGCTGGGGGGATGTCTAGACTTCTAAGGGGGATGGAACATAACAAGCCCTCCTCCCTAGGCATCTATTTTGGGAGTATTCAGAAACAACTATTAGAATAATTAGTTTTTCTCTGCAAACAAGAGCAAGGAATGAAGCCTTCTGATCATTCTACAAGTCCCAAGTTACAACAGCTTCACCTCAGTGATGTATCCACCACGTATCTTCCACTCTTAAGGCAACATAAGTGAGCCTTAGAGAAGTTACAGTGACTTTCCTGATGTCCTCATTAGGAGGAGCAAAGTGGGACTCTAACGCATGTCAGGCCAGGTTCATTTTTTAGCCATTGATCACAGTGCTTTTCTACTTTTGTTCAACAGCAATTTGTTTGAGAAGCAAATGTCACCTAGTAGTACTATAAGCTTAAAATGACAACTCACCAAGCAGCAGAGTCCCTGGGCCTTTCGAGACTCCTAATATCTCAGGTCTTGTGACATCCTTTTCCACCCTCCAGGAGGGACTAAAGACCAACTACAAGGAGAAAAGGTTACTCACCCGCTTATCCCATATCCGCACGTCTCCATCGTGGCTGGTGGCAAGGTAGTTAGCATTTTTTTTATTCCATTTGACCTGGGAGGCACCAGCTGCATGGAAAAAAATAGGAAGAGAGGAACTGTCCTTGTGGCTTTCAGAAGCAGAGCAACGCACGCCCAGGGGAGCTGGATAATGAGTTCTGGCTCAATAAGCACAGAAGCCTGCCAGCTCCGACTGCATCCACTCCACCATTACAGACAAAGAGAAGTCAAGAGTGAGTGAATTAGCATGGAACAGGACCACAGTTACCTAACTGGGAAAATGACCTCCAAGAAAAATCTACAGGTACTCTGAGCAGAACAGCAGGATGCAGTTTCTCTGGGAGCAGTCAGTGACTGATCACCAACTGTTGGCTGGTAACTGACCTGTCCCACAATATGACCCTCAGCCCCACTGACACCACAGGCGCTCCAGCTCTCAGGCCTGTGTCTTCTCACTCGTTTTTGGTAATCATTGTTTCTGAGACACAATCTTGGAAGAACACAGCCTCCCGCTGCAGCTCAGCTGATGAATGGGCCCCAGAGTGGACCAATCCCACTGAGCAGCAGTACTTTGATACATACATGTAATGTATAACGATCCCACTGGGGTAATCAAAATTTCATCTCTTTAAATCATTTGTTATTTGTTTTTGGTGGGAACCTCCATACTCTTCTAGTTCTTTATAAAATATACATATGTCAATTGTTGTGAACTGTAATAATGCTATTGGTTTGCAGAAATCAGAACTTGTTCCTCCCATCTGAGTGTATTTATGGTATCATTATGCAACTTCCCTCTATTCCCTCTCAACCAATTTATCTCATTTTTTTCTTGAGACATTAGGCAAAAAAAAAAAAGAGTAAAAGATGAGAGACCAGTGAAGATAAATTAGCTAGAGAAAGAAGAATCTGCTTTATCTCCCCCTTTTTTCTTAAGTATACTGGGTATTGAACCCAGAGGTATTCTACCATCTCCAGCCCTTTTTACTTTACTTTTTAAATTTTAAGGCACAGTCTTGCTGAATTGTCTAGGTAGGACTCAGACTTGCAATCCTCCTGCCTCGGCCTCCCGAGGTTGGCCTTATGGGCGTGCACCACTGCACCCAGCTGTTCTTGAAGGGCTCCAAGGGTCAGCCCCTTCCTGACCGAGGACTCATCAGAACACAAAGCTCCCAAAAGATTCTGAGAACTTCCAATCCAACTTGCTTTACTACAAGTATGACACCAGAATCAGAAGTCCCAGCCTGCAGAGCTCTCAAACCAGGAAATGCTCTGCAGCCCAGAGGCAAGATTTCCTGGACTCCTTAAGGGCAAACACAATATGCTCACTGGAGGGCAAACAGGAATCACAGACTCTGGGACGCAGACAGCACCCACAACTGCACCTCTGGGGGACGTGAGGTGGAGCAATTTCCAGAAGTCTGCAGCCTTTTCTCCCAGGGCAGCCCTGCCACCACTGGGAAATGTCACTGAGGTGCAAAAATGAAAGTGATCTCCTACTTTTTTTTTTTTTTTTTTTCTTTAAGGCCCTGTAACAGAAAAGAAAACAATCACAACAAGTGGACTGAAAAAGATCTGCTTCCTCTTTTGGGTTTCTCTAAAGACAATTTAACTTAAAAAGCTGCACAAAGTAACAAACTCAGGGGAAGTGAGGCAGGCACTTAGAGACCATTTGTCTGTTTATTCAGCTGTTTACCCTCAGCAGCCAGTGATGGCGCGGATCCTGAGCACCACAGGGAGCGGCCAGACGCACAGGACCGTGAAGCACTGGCGCAGGAGCGCAAGAGGTGTCCGACTCCCACATCCAGGCACCCAACAGCAAAGGGATCAAAAATGATCAAGAAAAACACCTCCCCCAAAAGTCACTATTATGCACCACATACACTAATTTTAAAAAGAGACCGAAAAGGTAAGTTTTTAATCAAGGATTCCCAAATACTGATGGTCTTTTTCACTGTGAGTTTTGCAAGTCCTGCGTCTACTACACTCTACCCTCAGGAGTGGTGCGATTGATCCCTGATAGCCCCGATGGACAATTTCAAAAATAGTCAAGACTACAGAAAACATTCTATGAGCAATAAAAACAGATAGATCTGAAAGTAATTTCAATGATGAGTTCACCCACATTAAATAAAATTGGGAATACAATCAATGTAACTTCGGTCATGGGGGGCTCACAGGACCAACGACTTTGTTCCTTCAGTAAATAAAGTTCTGGAAAAGAAAAACAAAACCAAAAAGGAGAGGAAAAAACTTCCTACCAAATAAAAAGAAATGAGAAATACATCAACCATTTGCCAGTATCGACTTCATTTGTATTCTGAGTCGGCCAGGCGTGGTGGTGGCACACCTCTGTAATTCCAGCACTCAGCAGGCTGAGGCAGGAGGATCGTTACAAGTTTGAGACCAGCCTGGGCTACACAAAGTGAGTTCAACTGCATAGTGAAACTCTCTCTCAAAAAAAAGTATTCCAATTCAAACAACTTATAATTATTGGGGAATGCTGCTTAGATATTTTGTGATATTAAAGAACTGTTGGGGGCCGGGGAGATGGCTCAGGGGAATAAGCACTTCCCTGGCCAAGTGCAAGGGCTTGAGTTCAATCCCTGGTTCCACAAAAAACAAAAAACAACAACAAAAAAAAGAATGACTTCTTTGGGCCTGGGAGATGGCTCAGTAGAGTAAGTGTTTCTCTGGCAAGCACAAGGGTCTGAGTTCCAGCCCTGGTTCCACAAAAAAAAAAAAAAAAGGAAAACAACTCAGTGTGAAATTCCTGGGTTCAATCTCCAGTACTGAAGAACTGTTAATATTTTTAGGTATGTTAACTGTAGGGATTTTTTTTTTTTTAGAGATTCTTCTTTTGTAAGAATATATACTGGAAAAAAAAAAAAAAGAATATATACTAAATGAGGGTGGGGTAGAATGATGGCTGAAGGTAAAGACAAAGTAAGATTCAGCACTCGGGGGGAGTGAATAGCTACTGAACAGCTACTTAAAAATGGCTAAGATGAGCTAAATAGAGGCAGGAGAATTGCAGATTCAAGCCTAGCCTGGGTAACTTAGCAATTCAGTGAGATCCTATCTCAAAAACTAAAATAAAAATAAAAATAAGGCTAGGGATATAGCTCAGTGTAAAAATCCTGAGTTCAATGGCATTGCTAAAAATAAAAGATAAAATTATGTATAATGACAAGTGTTGAAGCTAGTCATGAACAGGGCAGTTCATTTTCTTCTGTTCTTATATTCAGTTGACATTTTCCACATGAAAAGTTAATCTGGCTCCTCTCCTTGAATTCTCAAAAAAGTTCCCGATCAACATTTGGCCTCCCGATTCTGGCTGCTGTGGGCAGCTTTAAGCAAGCCCTTTCAACACGGGACTTTTAATTGCACCCAGCCTGGCAGAGCACGGGGCGTGGGTGGTTTGCGTGTGAGGCGGGACAGAAGGAAGGGATGTCAAGGAAAGAACAGAATGAAGCAAGCAAGTGGGGGTAGGGGGTGTTGCACACACTCACCTACAGCTGACAGTGCGACAGTAGGTTTCCTGGTGTCTCTGAAATATAAAAACCAGAAGTCAAATGCTGAATTCATAAGCTGCCAGGCACCTGGTGCTTTTCCACTTTTGTACACATTTCTTTACTTTGCTCTCAGTAGGAACTCGAGTTAAATCTGCAGTAAGGGTGCTAAAAAGCTAGGCATGGTGGTGTGCACCTCTAATTGCACCCCTAGGGAGGCCGAGACAGGAAGGTTGCAAGGTTAAAGTCAGCCTGGGCTACATGGTGAAAATCTTCCTCAAAAAAATTCATATATATATGAATATATAACATTATATATTCATAGGTACATTTACATACAGATATATAAAGATCAACCTGCTTTGAACTTTCTTGGCCATTTCATTTGAGGCTGAATCTGAATTTCAAATCATGACCCCTGAAGCCTCCAAAAAGTAGATCATACGATTCAGCATGTCTGGGTAACCCTACTGTGTGGGGAAAAGGCATAAAGAATCCTTTCCCAGTGTCACTTGCGTTGGTCACAGCAAGGTGACAGGCATGACAGTGTAACTGCAAGAACTCTCTCAACAGCACCTCAAAGGTGGGTTTAAAAACCACTCAGGCTGTTCCCAATAGCCAAGAGGTAGAAGCAAGCAATGAATGAACAAAATGCAGTGGGTGCCCAAAACAGAACGTCATCTTAAAAAGGAAGGAAATTCCTTTCTATAACATAGAACAACATTCCCTCAGCTACAACACAGATGAACTCTTGAGATGCTGCTAAATGAAATAAGCCAGTCACAAAAAGATAAATACTGCAGGAGTCTTTTTATATGTGGTCACTAGTCACAAAATCCATAAAATCAAAAGCCAGAGTATCAGTTGCAAGGGGCTGAGGTAAAGGGGAGACTAGGGAGCTCTATCTAATGAGTACAAACCTTTCAGTTTTGCAAGATGAAGAAGTTCCGGAAATCTGTTGGGCAGGGAATACTAAGCCCTGCTGAATAACTATTTAAAAATGGCTAAGATGGGCTGGAGAGACAGTTCAGTGGTCTAAGCACCTGCCTGGCAAGCACAAGGACATGGGTTCAATCTCCAGTACCAAATGCCCTGTTGGCCTGGGAATCCCAGGCACGCAGCCATAAAAACTGGGCATGGTGGCATATGCCTACAAGCCCAGTGTTAGGGAGGCTGAGATAGGAGGATCACTACAAGTCTGAGCTATACCAATTTTTTTTTTTTTTAAATGTATTTAGTATGGAGTCTACAGGGTCTCACTACACAGATCAGAAGTGATCTTTCGGGGCCGGGGAGATAGCTCAGTGGAATAAGCGCTAGCTCAGTGGAGTGTTTCCCTGACAAGCTCAAGGGACTGAGTTCAATCCCCGGTTCTGCCAAAAAAAAAGTAAAAAAAAAAAAAAATGATCTTTCATTTTGCAGCCACCCATGTGCTAGAATTATAGGTGTGCAGCACCACACTGTCTCAACTGTCAGTCTCAGTGCGCCCTATGGGAGGGACTGGCAAAGCATGCTGGGGATCAAACCCCAGTCCCTGCCTCTGCCTAAGCAGGCGCTTTAATCCGCTGAGCCATTTGGCCGGCTCCCAAATAAATAATTTTTTTTTTTTAAATGGCTAAGATGATTCAGGAGCAATAGTACATGCCTGTCACCTCCCATGCAGGAGGCTGAGGCAGGAGAATTACTGTGAGTTCAGGGCCAGCTCAGCTACATAGTGAATTCAAGCCCACTCGAAAGTACAGAGTGAGACCATAAGGAAACAAAAACAGGTTTCCCTCCCCCAGTGCTCTGGATCCTGAGCTCTGACCCTGGGAGCTGTCTTCATTTAACTGGCAATGTCAGAAATTATTGACCTGAGTCCCCCACAGCTCAACTTAACAGCATGGCTTTATTTCTTGACCCTGGGAGCTGTCTTCAGAGCAGAGGCACAGAAGCGCTGCTGTCATCAGTGCTTGGTCCCGTCAGCTGCACGCACACACCTGCCTCCCAGGAACGTGCTCATCTGCTCTACCCCAAGAGCTGGCTTACTTCTCCCTGTAGTCTCCACCTTCTGGGAAAAATGCCCTGAGTCATGGCCATGAAGGAAGCAGCGCAACACTGCTGGAGGGAACAGGGCATGACATGTAAGGGCAGCGCTGTTCTGAGGATGTATAGCCCGGCTGGGCAAGCCCTCCCTCTTTCCTCCATAAGTGTGACTCTTGAGGGGCCACTGACTTCGAGAGATGGGCACAGCAGCCTCAACAAAGAGCAAGAGGTGAGGAGATGTGTCAGCACTGCCCATTAAGGCAGATGTGTCTGTACCCCTGGCAGATCCCCCACTGTCACTCCCCACTTCAATGAACCCCAGCTCAGTTTCCAATGACAGGACCCATGTTGCTTTGCCAAGGGATTCCTGGCTGCTGAGGCTGCTCTGCAGAACTCTATGACAGCTGAGGTGCCACGGAATTCAGACCCTAGCTCAGTCCTCAACAATGACAATGGGAGGGCCAACCAAATAGCTCCTGCAAGCAGGCACAGGGGCTGGGGGTTTGATCCCTGGGCCTGTCGAGCTGGCCCTGGCCCCGCCCCATGATTGAGACTGGGCATGGTGGCACGCGTCTGTAATCCAAGCTCTTGGGAGGCTATAAACAGGTAGATTACTACGAGTCCGATCAAATAGTGAGACCCTGAACACCATGTAGACCCTTCCCCCCAAAAAACAAAAACAAAAGCAATGACAATGGGGTAGCACCCTGCATCTTGGCCCCCAGTGAAACACGTCCACATGAGGCTCTGTCTCCAGCACTCAGTGCTCTGCAGGAAAATTAAGCTCCACCTAGTCCCAGGAGGGTCCCTCCCTGCAGGCTTCCTGATCTTGCCTCTCTTCCCCCAGACCAACAAAGCCCCTCTCTCCCTCCTAGCCCTCGAGTCCTTGCCTCATGTTACATCCAGAGAAAACCAGACCAAGACACTCAATCTCTAAAGCAAAGGTCTGACATCATCCCACAACCAAGAGGCTATGCTCCTCGCTGTTCTTACTTGATGTCCCAAATGTAGATGTAGGTGTCCACAGAGCTGGTGACCAGGAGATCTGGCTCGAACACTGCCCAGTCCAAGTCACTGGGACACAGAAATAAACAAGACAAACAAAACAAAACAAAAATTTCAGTTTCTGGTTTCAAAGCACTGGAAACTCTAGCCTCTAGAGGCTTCAAACATCAAAACATCGAGGGTGGGCTTGTCTCACTTCAGCCTGGGGATCTCCAAAGTTCTCTGAAAATGAACAGAGCTTGGAAGGATGCTTTCAGCACCTCCCTGCAGTTGCCAGCCAACACCACCGCCCACTCCCCACAAAGTGGAGCATTTTAACTTAAACATGCAGACCCCGCCCACCAAAAAATATAAATAAAGGAAGGAAGAATATATAATCTTATCTTTTCTGAAATTGCACGCACAGCCACCCTGGGTAGATCAATGATAACCTCTACATGGCCACACATCTTTGCAGGAGGGCCGGAGCTCTCGCACCCTCTGTCCCAGAAGGGCTGCTGCTGCCCCAGCTGCTCTGTACAGAGCCAGGTGTTAGCCTTTCCCACCCAGCCCCAGGTCATCGTCACCCACCCTGCACCCTCCTCCTATCCTCCAGCAAGTGTCCCCTGGCCAGAAACAACACCACCCTGGCAAGCCCAAGTGGGGGCAATTGCACTGTAGGCATAGGCCAAGATGCTGGAGCCCTGTGTGGTACCCACAGCTACAGAGAAAAGGCCGAGGGCTGCTGCTCATTGAGGCATCTGTGCACAGCTGGGCACTGTGGACTAAACAGGGGCTTCTGTCACATGACAGCCCCTCCCCTGGCAGTCAGCGCTAATCCTTCACTCTGGACTGGGCTGCCTCTGTCATCAGGGATTAGCAGTGCATGGGGGACGCTTCCTAAATACTGGGAGTTCTTTGCTGTTCTCTGCCATCACCCTAGAGGGCACTAATAACGTTGGCTACTGGGCCAGTGCAGCACAGAGGGTCAAGCCACAGTAGCATCTTCGTTTTACTGGGACAAAGTGAAACAGGTCAGAAGTCATGGTGGGCAGGCACCTACCTGATGACGCGAGTATGGCCCTGTAGGGTTGTGCTGACTTCCCCACTGCCATCCTTCCACTTATAAAGGTCGACCCGCTGGTTACTCTGAGAAGAAACAAAGGAGAGAAGGCAGTGGGTAGCATCACATGCACAAGGGAATAAATGTTCTCACTCCAACCTGCTTAGCGGGGTGAAGAGGAACTCATGAAGAAACCAACTTGTGTGGCACAGATCACAGTTGAATTTGAAAAAGCCACTAAAAATTAGTATAGTTAATATTAGCCTGAGCTTCCCTCAGCCCAACACACTGGGTTATGAATTTCAAGATGGAAAGATAGATTTTTTTTTTTTTTTTTTGCATTACTAAGGACTGAACACAGGGTTTCAAGCATGCTAAGGAAAATAGTCCATCACTGAGCTATATGCCCAGCCCTTTTCAAGTTATTTTATATCTAAAG